ACTCAACATCATGAAAATTAAACCTTATTTGTTTGTTTGTTTGTTTGTCGTTAAGCACAACGCTACACAATGAGTTATCTGTGCTATTTTAACCTCGGGTACCGAAACCTGGTTTTTAGCGTTATAAGCTTTGAGACTGATTCACTGGGGGCACGAGAGAAGTATAGCACAATCAATCAATAACTTGTTTCAATTATTACCTAAAACCCTCTTTAAACCAATATTACCGAAACATCGTCAAACTAATTGACGAAAATGTCGTTAACTTAGAGAAAAAAGTTAATTATTGACTTTTCCACAAATCGCGTGAACTGATACTTCTTAAAGACGAACAAATTTTGAGAAAAATAACACACTATCAAGTTTCAGTAAGAAACAAGTTGTTTTCATTTTCTTCGACTGAGAATTATCAAAAAAAAAATGTAAGTAAAGGTTTCAACTTTGAGATTATTCTCAAGCAAATTCCTAAAATAGAAATATAAAACTTTCCACTTTCCAAATAATCATCCTACCTTAAATCTATATCAGGATTTCTCTACAAAAGTCACTTAACTCATTTATCAACCACGTGTGTTAATATCAAATTTTAAACCAGAAAATTTTATAGCTTTACAATCCCTAAAAATGATCAAGATATTGTTCTATTAAAATCCGATAAAGATAATTCTGTTGTTGTCGAGGGTTGCTGGAAATTTCTCAATGAAATGAAGGCTATTTTAACTTTGTGAAACTAGATACTGATTTAACGTCCAAAAGAGAACGCAAACTAAAATTTTGTTTGCTACAATAGAATAGACGTGACAAACATTCCAATATTTTTCTTAATTTCTTGCTTCTTACAATCCGCAGATTCTAATATACCATAAATATGACGTCTCAAAAAAAATACATAAACCAAATGCGCTTTTACGTCCTATGGTTTCTACTTATAATACTTGCATCTATAATCTCGAAAAATCCCTGATATCAGTAAAGCTTCTTTTCGTCAAAAACTTTATGGTCAGTTTTGACACAAACAATCTTGTCACGCAAAATCCTGTTGAAGAAGCAATTCACTGTGATCTGGAATGTTTTGTTTCAAAACTACTCAAACTCCAAGTTTTTGCTAGGTGTTTCTATCGTCAAAGAATATTTCGCTTTTCTGGTTCTTGTAGAAATTTTCTATTTCCGAATGTTTACTATAATCAGGTCGAAGGTCTGAGCTTGGGAAATTGTTTCATCTGCTTTAGCTAATTTTGTTCATGGTATAAATCAAAGAAACTCCAATTTCCACTTCAATTCAACTTTCTGGATCCGTTATTTAAATGATATTTTTACGGCCTTTAAAGAATATGATTATATTGATAGTTTTCTTTCAAATTTGAATTCACATCAACATCAAGTTTACAGTTGAAAATTGATTCGATTGGAAAACATATTTTTCATATGTGATTTTAAAAATAAGGCAAAAAATAAGTTTCTAAAAACATAATTACTTGTTTTATCCCTAAATAAAACTTAATTTTCGTATTAAAAGTTCTTCCTTTAATTTAATTTCTGATAGTGTTTCAATCAATCAAAAGAGCAAAATCAACATTATGGTGTAAAGTTTCTGATAGGATAAATACTCGGTATTTAGTGGTGAATACATAATATAGTATGAGAAGCTAAATACTCGGTATTTAGTGGTGAAGACATAATATAGTATGAGAAGCTAAATACTCGGTATTTAGTGGTGAATACATAATATAGTATGAGAAGCTAAATACTCGGTATTTAGTGGTGAATACATAA